GGAAATACAGGTCAGCAAGAAATTTGATGAAGTCTGTCATAGTATATTCTTAGGCCACACAAGGAATGTAAACTCCAAAGAAAGAAAGTTATCTGACTATATAACTGGTTGAACAGCCTTATAAAAAGGACTGATTAATGGACTAATGTAAAGCAGGAGTCTAACTTAAAGGAATGTGTCTAGGATCACGCCAAATGTAGTTCCAGTTCAGCAATTTAGATGGTCACTTGGATGAAGACATTAATTATATCATAATCAATTCCCCTAAATTGGGGAAAAAGGCTAATCTGTATTATGGAATCAAAATCCAAAAAGACCTTCACCTTCTGGAGCAATAAGCTAACTAAAGGTAAAGATTAAACTTAATTGCAGTAAGTATTTTTAAAAGTCCCCAATCAAGTGGCCAAACATAAAACTGGGGAGAAGAAGCATATTTGCAGAAGAATATGCAAAAGAAATACATAATTAAACAATGTGGCATAAGTGCAAACAAAAAGAGGTAGATTAGATCTTAGGTTGATTTACTGTATGGTATCCAGAGATTACACAATATAACCGATGATATTAGGACAATCCTCTGCATTCAGCTCTGGGGACCACATTTTATGAAAAACAGGAATGCAAGAAGAAAATCCCTGATGATAATGAGACTCTCACCACATGCCAAAGAAGCACGAATTAAAGGAATTGAGCATTATCGTTGAGACTGCAAGAGTCGTTATGGGTAAAAGCATTTTGTATAAGTACTTTAAGAGGTTAAAGTAAGGATGTGAACATTATAGAGACAAATAGTATAGTTCGATATAAGAAAAGAGTTCTTACACTCAGAAATGGTCAAATAAAGAAATGCCTACTGTATGCAAGATGAGTATTGACAAATAATTTGCCAACATTGACCTTAATATTCTCTGTGAGTTAGGAAACATGATCATCCACTAACAATGAAGACTGGGGATAATCTGCATGGACTAGAAAACCAGGAAAAATTCAGAATATGTATCATGGAGAATTTGATATGGAATTAACCATGAAAGAATAAAATAACTTCATAGTACCATTAGGAACCCCCTAAGCTGAAGTTGGAGTGAATCGATTTGTAGTTGACCACAAGACACAGTTACATCACTTTGTCCAGCTAAATCCACAGCAAGAAAGGTGAAGTAGATATTAAAAGTGAAGCTAAAATTGGAAAAGCAGGTTCTGATAGGTCTAGTGGCAAGAGATTTGAGGATTGGAGCAGAGCTGAAATTGCTGGTGAAAGAAATAACAGTTTACAAACAGTTCTGAAACTATATAAGAAAAGAGCACAGAAGGGTCTCTATATAACCAATGCTGTATCGTCAAGAATAACAAAGACAACGATGTTAAGCTCAACAGACACCTACTATGTGCCAAGTACTGTGAATTCAGCAATGGAAACCTTGAAGGAGATTTGGGTTTGGTAGGAGATGCAGACATTTACACATAAACTTTCACGATGTAATGTGGCATAGCAAAAGGAGATATGCCAATAGGTTGCACCTAGAAAAAAATTTCAGGATTAAGCAGTGGGTCTGCCCCATTTCCTTTTTCCAGGGCGTTCACGCCCAAAGCCATTGTCTAGTGTTGACTTCCTTAATTCTTGCTATGGTGAGATGGAGGAGTTAGTACGTGACTTAACTAATTTGAGTTGGCTTCAATTTTGTAAAAAGGAAGCTTTGCTTTAATAAAAGACTATTAATGGCCAGAAAGCATGCCAGGTAAGAGAAGTTAGTAACTACCAGCAGTGAGGCACATTTTCGTGACAAGAGAGACCATACCTCAAAGTCTCTCAAGTGTTATAATGCAGTCATTCTCTCTGAAGGAGAAGCTAGCCCTAAAGCCCTTCCCTCTTCCAAATAATACTGTTGATACTCTAGAAGCCCTCCAAAATATAGGAAGATGAAGCCTGTTGGTCTGAACCCAGGGGAGAAGAAAAAATATAAAACAGGTAAGACATTTCAAAATGTTCTGAAAGAAAATAAAAGAAGCAGATATGATTCAGGATAGCCAATAAATTACTCAACCCCAAATACATCAACTAGTTTATGGGCAACTAAATTCGTTCAACAAAAGAACTAAAAATTGCCAAAAGCTCTTCTTTTATCACATTGAAATGGACACACCCAAAGAAACTGTTACAGAATGAATGTAGATGGCCTGGAGACGAAAATCATTATTATTATTAATACTTTAGAAAGAAAAATATTTCTTTTTACAAATGTGGAGAAAAGTAATAAATAGAAATGTTTAAGAAAACTTACCTGGGTAAATATTTCTCATTAACTTGTATAAACATCAGTGCAATAAAAATTGAATATCCCAGCAATGAACGAAAAGCCAAGTGACTTCTTAGTGAATCTGACATATACAAAGTCATTCTAAATAACCACTTTCTCCAAATTTGTTTCTCATCAATAACATCCTTTTTGACTTGTTTTATCAAAACACTGTTTTCCTTTCCATTTCCCTTTACTAATAGATAGTCATTATTACTGCTAATTTGATAATTATTTCTGAAAAAAAGATTAAGTTTTTTTGGGGGGTACATATCATGCTATTTTAAACTAACCTGTTAAAAAAATAAATATTCTCTTCACCCCAACACTCACTAATTGTTAGCAAACGTAAATACGGGATTTAATTTCCCTTGTATGATTTCTGAAAAAAATCTAAAGTTACACAATATCTTAATGGGTCAATAAAAGGGATGTTAGCTAAAAATTTAAATTCTTTTAAAAATTTTGTTTCAAAAATGTCTATGACAAAATTCTTAAAATTTAGTCACAATAATATTTTATTGATGGTTTGTAAGAAATATAATTTAATTTTAATGCTATCACTTAAGTTTATAGTGAAATATAATATTCACTAAAACAGCTTATCAAAATGCTTATAAGTACTAAGCGTTGTGAAGTTTTCCACACTTCTTTCATCTTTGATTTTGCCATATATAAATAAAATAACTTTTTATTTTCTTCTCCATTCTCTGAATGACAGAACACTATCTTAAACATGTTATTTTATATTTGAACACCTATAAACGGGGCCTTTAAGGGGCTATTTATATTTTGTACCCCATGAAACACCATACCAGGCGTAAGTACTTTACATTTCGGTTGGATTTCAAAGACAAAAAAAATTTATTGTCGTGTACTAGAAAGAGACCTTGCAGAACATGAAGACACAGCAGGTACTCATCTACTTATTATAAATTTTTACTAAGTAAACTTCACAGACCTGTTGTTTCCTAACTGACGCATTTAAAAACATACAAACGATCTATTTTATATGAAATGCTTAATTATTGCAACACTATTTCCTTATTCTAGAGTTTTTCCCTACTAGTCTGTATCTGCAGGCTTTATTTAGTGATTCTGTTGTTTTGACAAGAAAAAGTGTGGCTTACATGTTTCAACTCTTTGATTCTTATTTTTCTATTAGGTCACAGATCCCTTTGGATATCCGAGGGCGCTACTATCTCGATAAAAATGCAGCAACTCAAATGTTTGAGTACAATTTTAGAGCCCTCATGATCCCTTGAAGGAAATCCACAAACTCAGTTGCTTCATGACTGAACAAAGCATAGACTATACATACAACCTCCACTGAAGGAGCAATAAAGCTTAGATGACTTTTAGACAAATTAAGTTTTGCTTTGGAATTCTAGACATCCTTATTGTTGTTATATTGTTGCTATCATAACAAGTGTTGATTTTTACCATTGAAAATACAGTACCTGAAATGATCACTCCTGAAAAAAACCATATAGCTATTTTAGGAAAAGCAAACGATTATTTCTACACTATGAACCAAGATATAAAAATCTGTATCTATCATCAAGTGCTTCCATGTTTATCTATATGCAGCAGGAAAGTTAGCATGTTCCTACCAAGATCATTTCTGGTAAGTGGGTAGATATTTAATGAAATCACCATTGGAGGACTTAACTTCCGATATGTTATAAGTGAAGTTGAAATGAAAAAAAACTTGTCCTATTTAAAACCCAGGGGGGTTTCAATATATTGAAAATCAAGGTGTCTTCAACCAGTCACCTAAGTGAGACATACAAGCTTCTGTTTTACTTCAGAAGATGTAAACTGTTTATAAAGTACAAAATGAAGGAATAACCATGTGAAAACTGGTGAGTAAAAGAAAGACTCATGAAACCCATAACCTGAATCACACGAGCACATTGCAACGCAGCCCCTCACACAAATGTCACCGTAGGGCAGCTCAGCCAACAGGCTAGCAGCTGCCCACGCAGAGGCGCAGAGACCGTGGTGACCCCGCTGGTCACTGTTTTTCAGAGCCTCAGTCATAATGAAAACAGAAATGAGACTGCTAAGCAGTAATACACACACATCCACACACACACTCACGCATACACACCACGTACACACGCACACACTCCGCGGAGCCCTTGAGCAGCCCGCTGGAAGTTTGCTTTCTCTAAGCAATCCAGCGACCGCAGCGTTTGCTCTGCATCAAGACGTGTCGCTTACCCGCGCAGCAGCAGCCCGATGAAGTTGCTGTAAAGCCCGGGCGCGGCCTCCAGCCCCGCTGCCTCTAAGGTCCTGGCATCCCTTGGGTGCTCGGGCTCGCCCGCCGGTGCGCGGGAGGCCGCGGCGCTGCACGGGGCTGGCGGGCTCCGAGGCCCCGGCGCCGCGGTCGTGGGAGAGCAGCGCCCCGGCGCGCCCCGCGCCTTCTCACGGCCCGGCCGGGCGAGCAAAGCCACCCGCGCGGCGCGGCCCGGCGCCCACCCGCGTCAGCGCTCCTCCCCCAGCCTTGCGCCGAGCCCCCGGGCGTCGTCTCCTTTGCTCCCTCGCTCCTCCGCAGCGTGGGAACCCGGCGCCGGCTTCCCAGGGCTGGGCAGCTGGGAGCGCACGGAAGGCTTCCCTGGAGGGGAAGGAGGACGAGTGCAGGCCGGGGTCCCGGGAGAGGGGCCGCCTCTCTGGAGAGCCCCCACAGCGCCCACTTACTTGGTGGCTTCCCACACCTCGGGGCAGCGTTTCTGGATCTCCTGCAGCTCCGGGGCGCGCCTCGCAAATCCGCACTGCGAACGGAGAAAGAGAGAGGGCGTCAGGGGCGGCAGGCGGAGGGGAGAGGCGACCCTGCAGTGGCACCTGTCGGTCCCCGCGCGAGTGCACCCAGCGGCACGCGCGGCCGCGGCGCTGACACTTGGGCTCGCTTCGGTCTACCTGCTCAACAGGCTGGGCGGGACGCGACGTGCCTCGCAAACCCGGTTGCCAGCGCTGCTGCCAAGCAATCAGTTCTCGCCTTCGTCTCTCCCAGAGTCTCTCGGTGTCTCTCTTTGGTCCCCCGCAAACGATGCCTTGCAGTTCCTTTCCCTACAGCATTCGACTTTTCAGACCTCTCCCCGCCTCTTCCCCTACTCTGCACTGAAGGACTGAAAAAGAAAGTAGCGGCCAAAACGCACCATGGTGAGGTCACGGCGCCTCCCTGCTGCTCGCAGCACTCCCTCCCCACAGGTGTCCTTCTCCCGGGCCGCTCTCCCGCCCAGGGCTGCTCTAGCGTAGGGACAGTGTAGGAAAACTCTGCATTGAAACCCGCTGGTGGAAAACTGACTCTGCGCTGAGTCCCACCCACTGCGCTCAGACTAGGGCAGGGGAACAGAGTCCCGGTTTCTGCAGCCACCCAATCGCCATCCTAGAAATTACTATGTGGAGACAGAGACCGAGGGGAAGGGGACAAAGAAGAAGAAAGGAAAAAGAGGGAAGGGACTCCAGCAAAATTTGGCCCACTTAAAAATAAAAACAAAAACACATCTTGTCCACTATGCACTGGTCTGGAAAAATTGTATTTTTCCACAGTCAGAAACTCCAACATTTCCTCTGGGAAATTGACATCTGCACGGATGGTTTCCTGTCCTAGTTTTCATGTTTGAAGCCAATCTCCTTGCAGATGCAAGTCTATGGTTGCAGAGATTTTACATCTTTTGAGAAAGGTCCGGCTTCTGCTTGGTGCAATACATTTAGTTCTATTTGTTATATATGTGTGAGTTCTGGTGTTAACGTTTTTAGTTGCCTTTCTGACTTTAAAAAAAAATCCTGTCATGTTTTCCATTGTTCATTCACAATTAATCATGACCTTTATGTGATCCCTCTTCAAACCCAGGAACTTTGAGACAAATTGTTCATGGTTATATCCCCCTAAAAATGTTTACCAAACCCACCATCTAATCTGGTCCCATTTAGGCCCATCGCATTTGCAAACTTTCCCCCAGCCTTGCCTACTACTGTGCTTGCCTCATAGAAAACATTAATCAGAATCAGAAAAAAATGCATTGAAATAGTCAGGAGAGTCAGTAATATAAATACAGTAGCCACAGAAACTTTTGTTTTAGCATCTGGCACAAATTCAGAGCTGTCAGGGTGCAGTTTTTGTTTTTTCTGCCATCTCAGAAGCTTCTCTTCTATTTCTAATCCATGATACCATCTTATGTGTGTAGGGCATTTGTATTCAGTGTACTTAGAACTTAAGATGTAGAAAGAAAAATTTTTAAAAATGTACAGTAACCCTTAAGTAAAACGGGGGGAGGAATCATACTTTTTAAAAACTAAATTAAGTGCTATGAATGTTCAAAGGAAAAAGAGATACCTTCTGACAGGGAAAGTACTTCATAAAGGAACAGCATTTCAGTTAGGTCTTGAAGGATTGGTCTTATTTGGAAAAAAAATGAAATAGAGGAAAGATTGTTTTGCTTTGTTTTATTTCTGACAGAGGAAAACTTGTGAGCAAGCACATAGAGGTGGGAAGGCGTGGCACTGGTATTTAAGAAACAAGGAGTGGTACCATTTGGTAGAAAAGACAAGTATATAAAGAAAAGTATAGGAAGATATGATGGAAACACAGGTTGGGGCCAGATGCCCTAGTTTGCCTGTCCTCTACTTGTCACCAATTGTAGCCTTTTTTACTTTTTTGCTGTTGTTGCCTTCCTCTAGTGACATGACTATTCTCAATATTCCTTTCCTTCTCATATATGACTTATTTAACTCATTCATTTCTGCCTTTACCATCCTCAAAGTTTATAGCACACAAAACTCCTTGATATGTACTACGTTTAACCTCAGTAAATTCTGCCAGGAGCTTAGTTTTACCAAGGGTAAACTCTCAACTGGAGAGCCTCTTACCTCCTTCTCCCAACTTTTGTATCAGGCAATGGGGTAGGTGGAGGAAGCAACCACTCTAAGGGGGCTGGAACCACCAAAAGATGATTGCAAGAGACATTCTCTAATCTGGATGTTTGCTGTGCCCTAAAAAAGTACTAAGAGTTCCTTGATGTTAGGGAAGTCTAATTGTTGCAGCCTAATTGCCTAGCAATGAACATGGTTCATAATAGGGATTCAGTAAAATGACTGAGTAGATAAATGAATACCTGAACATTTCATCATCTTCCAGGTTCATTCTTCTATCTTATAGTTGACTTGTAGGTTAAAACTTACTTGCCTCCACTTTATTAAGAATAGGATAGTTGTCATGACAACTTATTAAAAATGTTAACAAGGACACTTATTTAGTGGAAAGCAATCCTCCCTAGCCTTGTTGGCTTTCTCTGGCAGAAAACCTCAAGGTATTTGTGTTTCTCCTCAAGATCCTTTGCTTTCCTTGTACTCACAATTGGCAGCGATACAGAAGCATTCAACTGTGCATCATTTTCATACTTGAAAATTAAGTGACAATGTCAACCAGAGATATATGCTCTAAATCCTTGCTACTCAGGGTGTGGTTTGTGTATTAGCAGTATCTGCATAACTTCCAATCTTGTTAGAAATAAGGAACCTCACACCCCACCCCAAACTAACTGAATCAGAATATTCATTTAACAAATCCCCAGGTGATTCCCAAGTTTATTAAACTTTGGAAAGCACTGTTCTAAAATCAACTCATTCAGTATGCTGAGCCCCCAAACAGGTTTTCCGAATCTTTCTAAATGTGGGAATTTTTAGAACCAGAATCTTCATTTTTCTGGGTTACTATTGCCATGTCAGTTCAAATAAAGTAACGAGACTAATGGGTTCACCTCTTCTGACTTCATGGACCTTAAAAATTCATAAACCAAAAAGAATTGAGAGAGAGAGAGAGAGAGAGAGAGAGAGAGAGAGAAACAGCAAGAATGTAAAAATGAGAGAAGCATTTTGTGTCCGTGTCTGTGTGTGTGTGTGTGTGTGTGTGTGTGTGTGTGTGTGTGTGTGTAATGTCAGGGGCAGAATTTCTCTTTATTTTAGCAAACAATCAAACCACTAATTGTACTATTGACCAAATAGCCTGTCAAACATAAGAAAAACAAGATAAACTTCTACCTCTTCATTACTTGATTTCCTCCTCTTCTTCTTAGTATTATTTATTTTCTATTTGTTTTAACATACCTGGTTAGATAAATTTTACACTGGTAACTTTCGGTAATTAGAACCATGGTAGTACTCCAAGTTGTCTCTTTAGGAATGCAGAGTTTTATTTAGGAACAGCAGATCATATGAGGTTGGCGTCCATAAATTTCTAGTCCTGCTATAGGCATTCATGAAGTAGTCTGGACTTAAAAAGACTCAGACGGTGACAGACATGAAATAGAGTGGTAGGCAGAGTAATGGCCCTCCCAAAATAGCCACATGCTAATCCTCAGAACCCATGAATATTCTTTATTACATAGTAAGAGAGGATTAAGGACGCAGATGGAATTAAGGTTACTAATCAATTAATCTTGAGATGGAGAGATTATTTCAGGTGATCTGGGTGACCCCCAGGTGTTCATAAGGGTCCTTTTTAAGAAAGAAAGAGGCAAGGGAGTCAGTGTCAGGGTCAGAGTCAGAGTGATGCAACGTGAGAAAGACATGATCAGCAATTTCTGGCTTTGAAGATAGAAACGGGTTTAGCCAAGGAAGGTGTGCAGTCTCCAGAAACTAGATAAGGCTAGAAAATGATTCTCCCTTAGGCTCTCCAGAAAAGAAGGCAGCCCTGCCATCACTTTGGTTTTGGAAGGGCTCCAGTGAGACTCATTTTAAACCTCTGACTTCCACAAGTGTAAGAGAATAAATTTGTGTTGTTTTAAGCATTAAGGTTGGGGTAAGTTGTTACAGCAGCAATAAGAAACTATAGAGAGTTTGATACTGAGAAGTGAGCACTGCTGTGCAAATGCCTGAAAATATCAAAGTGCCTTTGGGATTGGGTAATGATAGAGGCTGGAAGTATTCTGTGGAGCCAGCATTTAAAAAACCTAGATTTCCTTGAGCACACTGTTAATAAAAATATAGTTGTTAACTCTGCTAGTGAGACCTCAGAAGGAAGTAAGGAGCATGGTAGAGAAAGCCTACAGCATCTTTGGGAATATATAAATCATCATGAACAGACTGCTGGTACAAATATGGACTCTAAAAGTGCTGTTGGCTAGGACTTAGATGGAAATGAGGAAAGTGTTATTGGAAAGTGGAGGAAACGATATTCATAGTGTGTAGTGACAGAGAGCTTCGCTGAATTATGTCTCATAGATAGGTGAAAATAACGATCTTGGATATTTAGCTGAGAAGATTTTTAAGCAAAGTGGTGAAGGTATGGCCTAGTTTTCTTTTTCTTGCTATTTATTATAAAATGTGAGAGAAAAAGATTGATTGAAGGAAGAATTATTAAGCAAAAAAGAAGCAGGACTTGATTATTTGGGAAATCCTCAGCCCATCCAGATTGCAAAAGATGCTACATCCTCCTTTGTCCTGGTGAGTGTAATGTCTTTGTACTTTGGCAGGACTGAAAGTTTTTATCAATTCTGACATATGAAAAATCTGCTAAATGTTTTGATGCAAGAGATCTCTATATTTTAATCTATGCTAAAATAATAACTATATTGATTCTTTTAGTTGCCACTATTTAGTCTAGGCACTACTATTCCACAGTTGTATTAATATATACTTTAAAAGGAAATAAAAATGGTATCCTGAAGGCCATAATGCATTTAATGCTGTTTAAAAATACTACCCCAAAGGGATAACTTACAATTTCATTCACTTTGGGGAATTGAAAAAAATATAGGATGGATACAGTGACATATAAAAGAGTAAGATGACTGGGTTAGTGGCCACTGCAAAATAAATGTTTGTGAAATATGTAAAAGGTATTTTTTGAGTGTAACTCAAATATTGCAGCACAAGATATCTCATGCAAGTAAGATCTGACCAGGTTTAAAAGAATGGTTCAGCCAAACAAAGGTAATGTCTGTAAAAGAAAAAGAACAAAAAGAGTCCATAGCTGGCACAGTGGCACATGCCTGTAGTCCCAACTATTGGGGAGGCTGAGACAAGAGGATTGCCTAAGGCCAAGAGTTTGAGGCCATAGTGCAGTGTGATTGTGCCTGTGAATAGCCATTGCACTCCAGCCTAAGCAATATATCGGGAGATCCCGTTTCTAAAAAAAGAAAAAAGTCCATAGAAAGATAGCTACAGTTGAGCTCTCATTCTAAGTTGATTCACAAACGCTTAGTTTTCCATATTGTTTTTTTCTTCTTTCACTTTGTTTCTGTCTCCTAGCCCCACTTTTTATAAGATTTCTGGGATTTCCAAAATAATTGGCCATTTAAAAACAGATTCTATGTTTTATGAGTCTTTGACGTCACTATTTTTTAAATAGAAAACGAATGCCAGCTGTCAACAAAAAAGTTATCAAAAGAAAGACCAATGAG